AGCAGCACAGGCTATTACTAATTAATTGGCAAGTTTTGCCTGGAATAAGGGTTATCCACCATGTGGGTGTTCAGTCAGAACTTGCAAAAAAGCAGCGGTCACCCCATGACAAAGTTCCAAAAGTTTGGCAAGGACTATGGTGAAGAACCCTCTAGGGCCTTTTTGAAGGCACGGAATGGATCTAACACAGATTCCCACCCATAGAGCGTTCAAGATGTGGAAAAAAGGCCATCGCAGGAAGTTATGGTCAATTGTTTGTATATGAATAATACTGTATACCGGCTATGACGTTTGAAGGCACACGCTTTCCTTTTCCGTGGACCTTTGCTTCAGATTCATGTGTTCCTTTTCGCTAAGGCCGCATTGTTCAAAACTCAGTCTTCCTCAGCCGCCAGCCGCATGATTGATTTTTCTGCATATGATTTCTTAGTATATAATGTTTTTCTGAGTGTGATTTTCTAGTTTAAGTTTTGAATCTGATTTTGAATTTAAGTCGAATGTTCTGACTTTGATTCTCTGAATGTGACTTTCTGAGTAATTTTCGGACTATGATGTTCTGATTGAGTTTTTCTCATTGGTTTTCTGTGAGTTTCTGAGCATGAAATTATTTCTGAGTCTGATTTTCAGTTTTGCTTTTTGACTTTGATTTTGTGAGTGGCGATATGATGCAACTTCCTCGCTAGCAAGGTGTTGCCCACGGCGGTGCGCTCTGCTCCCCCCCCGGGTCACGGATTCAGACTGTCAGTCAGACATGATGCTTCAGACGGCTGTTTTTACAGAAGCCTTCAGTCATGTTCACATTCAGAAGCCTTCATTCAGGTTTCCTTTTCAGATTCACATTCTTTTTCATTCAGATTCACTTCAAGAAACGTTCATTCAGATTCACAAGAATCTTTCACATTCAGACCTACTAATGTTTTGCAAGCAGCCTTGAACTTGCATTGATTCATGTCTTTTGCAGCAGTTTTGTGGTCAGCCACCGGCCCTGCCCACTGTCAAACAAATGTCAGTCATGTGTTCTCAAGCTAAATGGCAACGTTCCACATGGACCACATCAAACACTCAAACACATCACACTTTCCACCTGTCATCATTTTCCGACATTGTAGCTTAGGGCAATTACTGACCTTTTTAATAGCCTTCCTCTCAGCCATGCAGTGCCCGGCATGCGACAGACTGTTGCCAAAAAACTTCTTCGCAGATTCGTTGTGGAGGTGGCAACAGGGTGGTGGCCCTGAGCCCGATTGAGTATGGTGCTGCCAGGCATGCGAGCTGCAAAAGCCGGTGGATCAGAAGACGACATGGTGGTTTTGGGAGAAATTCCTCTACCAGTTCGAAGAACTGGAGCGCCACGGTGTCCCAGAACTCCTTGAGGAATACTTCCTGGATCATCGTGCCTCGCTCATGTTTAATGATTTGTAGGATGGTTCAAGATTCTATGTTTAAGTCTGTATTGGTCGGACACATTTTCCATGACAAAACGCCACCATGTTGAATCTGTGTTGACTGTGTTGCTTCCCTTTTCAACCAAGGCAACGTCAACCATGATGCGTGGCACCAGCGTGCTGATGTACCTCGGCTGGGCCACAAATTCCCGGCTTTGCTGTCGGCTTTGCTGTTGCGTCTGCTGGGATGCAAGTACTTCGACACGCCTTGTGGAGGCGGAAGGTGGTTCGAAGCGTTCATGGAGCACTCGCGACGGGCCAACTTGCACGATGTGGCTGACACGATGGAGAAAAGTGTTCGGAATCTGTGGCAGACTTTGAAGTACAGCTCTTATGACCACAATGAAATTGATGCCATGATCACGACCAGCGTTCAACTTCACAGCCTCGAGAAGGAGATCTGGAGCAAAGTAGGCTGGGTGGATCATGCAGCAGCACAGGCTATTACTAATTAATTGGCAAGTTTTGCCTGGAATAAGGGTTATCCACCATGTGGGTGTTCAGTCAGAACTTGCAAAAAAGCAGCGGTCACCCCATGACAAAGTTCCAAAAGTTTGGCAAGGACTATGGTGAAGAACCCTCTAGGGCCTTGTTGAAGGCACGGAATGGATCTAAAACAGATTCCCACCCATAGAGCGTTCAAGATGTGGAAAAAAGGCCATCGCAGGAAGTTATGGTCAATTGTTTGTATATGAATAATACTGTATACCGGCTATGACGTTTGAAGGCACATGCTTTCCTTTTCCGTGTTCCTTTTCGCTAAGGCCGCATTGTTCAAAACTCAGTCTTCCTCAGCCGCCAGCCGCCGCTTGTCACTTTGCATGTTTCTCAAGTCTGAGTCTGAATCTGAGTCTGAGTGTGATTATTCATCAGCCAGCAAGGCCGGCGACTTAGAACAATTGACTTTTACACCATAATCAAAGAAAGTGGACCGGCCTACGCCAGGTTGAAAAAATCCCTCGCTACTTGTCTTTGTGTTGTCACAGGGCTCAGATGGGCCACGATGTTCAGCAAGTTTATGAATGACCCTGACATCATCGCAATAATCATCAATCAAGGGGGCCACTAAGTGGGGGAGTTGAAAAGCATTTACGGGGGTATAAAGCACCTGCGTGGCTCTCTCCACAAGTGTCCCGGCTTTTCCAGCGCTTAGACATGCACACCACCAGAAAAAACAATGCCAAGACAGGCCAAGACAATCAAAATCAATCAAACATCAGAACAATTCAGAACATATCAGAACAAACTCCACCACTCCATGTGAAGCCGATACGAACCTCGTGATCAGTATGGGTGGATGGTGCCTGGATGAGACTGTCTGACTTGCAATAAGGTACTCCCCAAATCATCACGTGATATCATGTCTCTGTCCCCCAGTTTGTGTTGAGGGACCTTTTCATCACGAAGCCTTCCAGAGTGGGCGCACTATGGGGCACTGATTGCTCCAGGGAAATGCATCCTCACTACAACACTCCTCACATACCAGAACCATGTTTCCTTTTGCTACTGGGTTCCTTTTGCAAGCGGTGGAGATCGGTGGAGTGTGGTGGTGGAGTGGAGTGAAGTGGAGTGGAGTGGCGTGGAGTGGAGTGGTGCGGAGGCCATGTGCTGCACACAGACACTGTATGATACTGTATGGCTCTCACCCCCCAAGCTACCGCGACACATGAAAAGAGGACTCCTGAGCTTGGCGCCATAGTCTATCCCTGTTCTCCACCCGAGGTGGTGGCCAGAGCCAGCCCCGGGAGTCCCCAGGTCGGCAAATCCAATCCCCAACCAAATCCGCCCATGCTACGCGTTAGGGGGGTCCTGACGGATCAGCCGGGTTATTGAAAAATCTCTGACCCGGGGCCAGGCAAGGAATATGACTACTCAAGAACCCTCGTGTCGGTGCTGGGGGGCAAAATTGGCGCCATTAGTGTTCCAGCATCATTTTGGATCCATGCAGTAGCTTTCGCATGGTCCATGCGGAGTGATGCTGGACACGCATGCGCATACACAGGGTTTTGGGGACAGTGGTGGAGTGTGGCGGAATGGAGTGGAATGGATTGGAGTGGAGTCCAAGCTCCAAAGTGACGATGATCAAGAGCGAAGATCACGATAGCGGAGTGGGGGTAGAGCATTATTTTATCAGCAAAATATGGCAAACCTGAAGAAACTTTAAACAAATTGGTTTGAGTTGGTGCCAAGGATATTTTCCGCTCCATTTCGAATAAATAAACAATGATAGAGTGATTCTAGACATCCTGACATGTTATAAGGACACGTCAGTTGTTCTTGGATGTTGGGTTTTGGGGTGTTGGGCACCTTACCCCCCCTCCCCCCGCCCTAGACCATCTTTTAATTCATAATGCAGCATTCAGACTCAACCGTTCAAAATAGTCAGTTACATGAATCACTTATTACTTATTACCTTCAAATTTAGGTTGTCTGTCCAAAGCATATTCTCCAAGAGAGACTCGCTTATACATGCATGATGCCATTCAGACTTGACGGTCCACAAGGCTCACTTAAACTTTTTAATGTGTCCTCAAGTTCAGACTCAACTGTTTAAAGATATTATGAATCATAAGTTAAGAAATCTTCTTCTTCTTCCTCCCCTTCTGCTTTAGCATCCAAATCAAAGGTGAATAGGACAACTGAGAGCATCTTCATCTTTTTCCTCCCCCTCTTCTTTAGTATCAATATCATTACCGTCACAAACAAGAAAACTGAGAGTCAAAAAAACGTGAGAGTCATTTTTGCAAGCCCCTCTGATATTGTTTTTGCAACATGTACTGTATGTAGTTTATGAACAACGCTGCTCGTATTCTGGTGATGCCAATGGTGCTCGACACAACTGCTACCTCAAAACATCCTCTCCTCTTAGCATACTTTCTTCTCTAGAATAAAGCTTTACAGTAGCCACTTTTGATCATTTTTACTGTTTTTCAATTGAATACATACGTCCTGGTGATGTTCAAAATGTCGGTTTGCGGCCGACATTTCTAGCACCACCTGGGCTTTCATGGCTTCTTCAAATATCAGGACTTTGTAGTGGAGAACGCTGGAAAAAGTATTTTTGAGCATTTTCTAGCCTAGACGCAGATAGCTTTAGGATAGAAAAAGTTCAAAAGTAAAAATACGGCTTTTTCAGCGTTTTCTCCACTATATACAAAGCCCTGATATTTGAAGAAGCCGTGCGCGCGCGCGCGCGCAAGTGCCGGCGTGCATGTGCGTAGTGTGTTTGAAGTTGATGTTGCCAGGTTTTTTACCTCAGACCCTCATGCGCACACCTGTGTGGAAGTGTGTATGCACAGGCGTCCGAGGCTGTGCTACTCGTAGCATTTTGCTGTGCGAAGAGCCTACGCATACACGCAGTCCCCCCAAGGGCATCGCCGGCTGGCGAAGCCTGTCAGTATTACTGTGTATATATATATATACTGTTTTATGTTAGTGCTAGAGCTTGCTTTATCAATATTGTGGTTGCCTGACTAGTCATGCACCCGCTCGTGCATTGTTTTCCAATATTTATATCATTGCTCCTGGCACCCCTCCTTTCTGTCGTCTGCCCTGCCTGATCTCCTTCGACACCTGCGATTGGTTGTTCGCCAAGCTCCTGCGAAACAATGCAAAACACCACTTCAACTCAACTTATCAAACTTGCAAAAAGAAAAACGTGTTGCCAAGCGATCAATTAACATGTGACTGACCGAGGCATCAAGCCTGCAATAGCCCCTTTGCGCTATTCTTTATGGCCTGGATGGAGCACTTGTCTTTTGCCCAAGCAACTACGCGCAGCAAGTGACGCGATTCCAAATGTACTGTGATCGGCATGCATCTTGGGCAGTTAACCCCCCGATCGTAGACTCTGTTCTAAAAAGGAGTACAGTGCAGTAGCTATCCAGAGGTCCACTCTGGGCATCAAGCACAAAACACGCTCCAGTAACACCGTCTTGAGTTGGCCCCAGAAGTCACACAAAGGCATTCTAGACTGTGCGTATGCTGTCTACAGGAAAGCTACAACAAGCAGCTTTGGACAAGTTTGTTTAACCGTTCATTCGGCCTTCTTCATTTTGGAGAGCAAGACGTCGCGCAGAGCAGGCAAGGCCTCAAACAGTACTGAAGGTGGGACATCGAGCCTGTGTATTGTTGCAGCCTTAAAAAGTCTGGTTCGTCTTGTGGCCCCTGCAGCTAGGAGACGACCTCTGGATCCCAAGCACTGACACAAATGCCTCAAGCGATCTTGAGTCCCTTGATTTGCAAAGATTGTAAATGGAGGAGGATTCCCTGCCTTAGCCGCATAGGGCTTGCCTTGTAAAACTTACAAGTCACTCGGAGCACTACAATACCTTTTCGCAAAGCTCTGCCTCGTGCACATCTAGGGTTTCTTCACCGGGCTGTCCATGATGTAGAAGAAACTGTGATGAAGAACGGTTTACAATACACGAAAGCCAAAATAAGACATCATGAGACAGCAGCTCAAAGCCTCTGATGAATGGTGCACAAACTCGACTTCCACCTGGATCGGCCCGAGCATACCCACGTATCGGCATCTGCACATCTCATGCTCTGCTCTGCCACAGGTTTGAGATACTCACGGCGCGGTCAAACGTCTCACCGAGGCTGGAAAGCTTTGTCCAAATGGACTTGACACTGACCTTCAGAACCACTTGCGATTCAAGAAGGTTTAGTGAGCCCATGTGCTGTCAACTCAGGTTTCCGCAACACCCTTCAAGTTGAAATCAAAGGCCTGGGCTGGTCTCCAATCTTGCGTTAAACACCTGCAACAACACTTTGCCCGAAATAAGTTCTGCATTATTCTCAGTATATTATATATACAATTAAGTTATATATATAAGCATATAGTTTGCTTGCTCTACCCTTCACCCCAGGGAAATTACGCATCAAAGTTGAAGAATAGTCTTTTCGTTTGCGGGTGGGAGTGGTTTGCGCTGTGTTACCACGTGTTCATATGCATGAGTTGGTGTGTGACGGTGAATAGGTCCTCTTGCCAACAAGGCAGCCTGGTCCCGATTCTCTTCAAAGTGAGGCTGGTGGCCCAGGCAGCCGGCTTCAAAACAAGTGTCCTTCTTTTGAGCAAACGCAGTTTCTGTTTGAGCAAACTCCAGACTTGACTTTGTATCTAGATCTCAGGTCCTACGGAATACGCCATGTAAAATATCAACGACGGCTCTGCAACGTTGAGAATCCGATTCCGCTGAAAATGCTGAAGTAACAGCTGGAGCCATGCGCCTTTGCTTTGTACTAGCAAGATGTCACACTGATATGGGCCCACTGTAAAAGGACTAATCTGCACCTGCAACAAGCCGACTCAGAACTCAAGTTGGCCCACCAAGGGCTTCCAATATTTGGGGTGAATGGAATCAGCTAAGGTCCCGGAAGCAAAGCTGTACAGATAGGCTGCCGAAGTAGTACTGTCAAGCAAATCGAGGGCCGTGATGAAATCTCGCCCCTGCGAAAGAATAGGTTTGGCAAGTGTTTGCTGTGCTCAAACTGCAGCAGCCAGTCATTTAGTCCAAAGAACTTGAGCAGTGAAGCGAAAGCAACACATATTGTATATATATATATGTAAAGGTTTGATGCTTATTTCTGGCCTGTAGCAGCATGTGGATTGAGGGCGAGCACTGCCTGCCACTCAGGCTCAAGAAAAAGAAGGCTTGCCGAACCTCCGAGTTCATGATAGTTTAGAGGATTTTAGAGGTGTTCATGGGGACATGCAGGACTTCTGCAGCCTTTCATCGCTTGTCCCAATCCTATTCCGGCCTCACGTGTTCAAGGCAGTCCAGGCGATGAAGGACTTCTTGGACGCGACGCCTGTGTTGTGAAATCATAGACAGAGTGTTTCGGTGCTTTGTCTGAACTTCAAGCATTGACCTGCTTGGACGAGGGGATTTGATTGTTCTAGTTGAGAGTGGCATGACAATTTACTTCATTGCGGATGACCTCTTTGTAGAACTGTGTCAGGTATTGAGACTTCACGGCGAATTACTATGAATCAATTAAGGGGTATTGTAGACAGAAAAATCGAAGGTCGATCAAAGATCCACACACCTTCGAAACTTCAAGAATACACATGGTGAACAGTGAATAATGTGTTTGCCGTTTCTCCCTATGGGTTTCTGACTTCCCTAGGCAGTAGCACTGCGAAAATTGCCAAGATCGCGGTCTTTGAGGAATCACTGTTCACCAACGCCAACGAGGGTATAATGTGTTGCTTTCAGGCACAACAGCCATGCAAGCCGATTAGACCTGACATGTCTTTCAATCCAAATGACAAGTGCCGAATACGTTCTTCCAGAAAGTGCGTTGCATCACAGTTCAATGACAGTTGAATCAAAAGTAGGTCAGTCTCTAGTCTATAAACCTGGATGCAAAGTAGAACGTAATTCGTGGTGTATCATTTCTAGCATCCACAATCCAGCGCCATTGGGAGCAGTTGAAGCAGCTGCTGGGCTCTGAGGAAGCTACTTTCTCCTGGCCAGTCGCCCTACAGCAAGGCCACATTGCAATTGCCTCTTTTGAACCTAAAAGTGGAGCATGGCAGAAACTGTCTGCTGGCACAAATCAGAGCTGGATTCTTGAAAACATGCTGCGGCAAAGCCAGCCTTCTTCAAGTGCTTCCGCAGCGTCCGAATAACTCCAATGGCTCCAAACCTGGCAAGAGTCTCCATGCTGCTCAATCAATAGCATGCCAGCACAATGACAGCCCGGTGCGGCAAGTCCTGCTGCAACGGCTCCCCAAGCGATGCCACAGAATCAAACAAGTGGTCTCTCCTTGAGAAATTCAACACTGGGAACAAACATCAGCAATAATTGGAGATGTGCACAGAGACGTGCAGAGTCTTGGCACCAGCACATGGTACAAGTTTTTTTTGTTTTTTTTAATCAAATGCAAAGTATTGTTTTGTATCTATTTTGTATCTATGGCGTGCTGATAATGTTGGATCGCGATTAGTAATAGGGTCATGAATCAATAAGACAAAACTTTTCCAAAATTATTCACACCCCAATGTTGGTTAAATTGGTAATCTATTATGCTATGTTTTTTGGTTCCTATTTTTTTTTACATCTGAAACATATTAGAGTGTTCATTCCTTCTGAACCCGGTCCACCTGCGCTCCCCCCTCCCTTCTCAGGCCAATTATGAAAAATGTTCCGCATGAAAATTCAATCCTCTTGTAAAACAATGATAGTTGCACACGGCTATAGTTTTAAACACTACAAAAAAAGGGTTTATCTAATTCACGTTCAAAACTGACAGCTTCGCAAAGCAAGCAATTCCTTTATCAACCCTTTTATGTGGGCATTGTTCCTAAACAAATTGTCCGGGTAGCAGAACAGGGAGGCATCTGATCATCAGTCATATTTAATAGATTTGTTTAATGGGATAGTTGTGAAACGTCTTTCCCCAGGGACATTGAATCCTTGCCTGAGATCTCAATACTACTACAGCAATGGTAGCTATAAATAATTACATATGTATATATATATATAATCTATATAGTATTATAGGTTTCTCTAGTGCTTCAAAACTGACAGCTTCCCAAAGCCATCAATTCCTGTATATATCAATCCTTTATGTGAAGATTGCTCCTGAACAACGTGCTTTTCTTGAGCTGAAAATCTGAGGCTGAGAATAACTACAAAGAACATGAAGAAAATGAATACAATCTATGAAAGAACAATGCATCCAATAATCAATTGCAAAAGCAATCCTCCCAGGAATCCAGATTCGTTTTGGTGGTAGTTCCATTAAAGGCGATCACCGTGATCACCCATTTGTTTAGACGGGGGGGACTCCCTTTTACTAATCACGATAGCCGGAGTTTGAAAGCCCGTCTTTCACAGTACAGTCACCATATGTTCACGCTGTTGCAAAGGCAAATGTGTCATCAAGAGAAAGTCCGGAAATAGAAACGGCAAACAGGGGAGGTACCAGCCACCGGGAGAACCATGGGCTGTCATCGAACAAGTGCCTACCGCACAGGATCAAAGTTTGCTAACAGTTGTCCAGTGCTGCAAAAATATGGATATGTTTAAACATTATATGCATATAGACACACATATATATACATATTTTTGCTTGCAAAAAAGCGTACTTGGCCTGACTTGAGAGAGGAGGGGATGAACGAAAGGTAGCAGGCAAAGCCCAGAGGCAGCCCCTAAAAACCCCACGTTCCTGTGACCCGGTGCTCAGCGTGATGCAGTGCATGCATCGGATACTGATGAGGTGCAGCAGGGGAAATTTGATCCAGGCGCCTCCCCTATGAAGAATCCTCCCTTGGACCAAGCTCTAGGCAAACACTCAGAACTGTAGCCTGAGGCAACCTTTCGTGACTTGTAGGTTTTCGGAAGCGTTCTCCATTTTCTCTCCTTCGGTATGGAGACCACCTTTGCATGGCACCACTTGCTCTGCAAACTCTTGCCCCAAACGAATGCTGTGCCGCCCAAATTGTCAACACAAAAGCCTCATTTACTTCTACTGCTGAAAGTTTTGGGCTTTTGATTGAAATGTATGCCATCCAAAGTGACTCCGACCCGTGTCAACTCATGGATTTGTTGTCTGCAGATCGTGGGCCCCCAATGCCATCCGAGTATACCAGAACCAACCAACCAACCAACAAACAAGCAAGCAAGCAAACAAACAAGCAGACAAACACACAATTGGTTGTAGAGTGCAATGAAACAAAAAGTGCCAAGGTGCGATGTAAGAATCAATAAACATGGCTTTGGTGTCTGTTCCAGCTGACCTGACGGACGGGCCTGAGAGGCAAAAGTCTTCAAGCTAGCAAGCTGGTTCAACGCAATATCCGGCAAATGAAAGCCGTGTCAATTGGAAGCAAATCCAAATGGAATGTCACGTGGGTGATTGTCACCGTGCATTTGAGGGTATGAGCAGCGTGGTGGTGAAGGCTGAAGAGTGGTTCTTTGCTTGTTGGACCTGAACATTATGTTTTAAAGTTTTAACGTACTAAAGGTGTTTTCAGGGTGAGATAGATCATCCGCATTGAGCTTTCGACACACTGGAGGAGAGGATCAGCAGGAATGCGAGTAAGATCAACAAAAGAAAATATACAACGACCAGCGATCATAGGATTAGGCTGGTGCATGGGAATCCAACAAGCACTCTTCAAACAAGTGTTACTTCAAGAGCGGATGTCGACGGATGGCTGAACATGCACCGCCTCTCCCTCCTTTGCAACCCTGTGACGCTGGCAAGTCAAGAGTCTTACGTACTAATACTGTGTGCAAGCACAATTGCTGTACTCAATGTAATTATGCTATACTCCGAATCATGCGCGCACATGTCATGGGCACCGTGATGAAGACTTGAATGCCACAAACTAGAACGTGTTCAAAGCTTTGCATTTCTCTGTTGCCAGTGTTCTTCCCTAAGTTTGCTCCAGGGCGCTGTGCTTTTCGGATGTGCTCGAACAGGGAAACCTTGCACAATGCAGCGTTCCAACGGAAGGCCAAGCTGTGCTCTACTGAAAATGGTGACTGCTAAGGACTCGCAAAAAAATGTCAAATATCATGATATCACCAAAACAACAGCCACACTCCTCTACAAAAGCGAGAGGCTTGACCTTGGGTGTTCTTGTTGCAGCCCTCGTAATAAGATGTAATAAGTAGTTCTGCTCCGTCAAAGAAACACACACACACACACACTTGGAAAGGGGTGGACCGGACGTTGATCCTGATGCTGATTTAGTAAGTGGAAGGGCCTTCAACCACGCGTGAAAGACGTGAAAGGCAAAATCAGCAAACTGGCAGAAACATTCGTATGCAAGCAAATGCAAGCAGCCTGAGGTATCCAGTGGAGTCAGTGCGCAACTTCTTCACAGAGGTACGTGCAATTCGCGTGCAGGTTGCATATCAGTTTCCACGGTGCCCTCCATTGGACACTCAACACTAAAAGGATTGCATACTAATGAACCCGTTTCATGCGAACGACCCAATTCAATTACACGGTCACTTGATGACAATTTGTGAAACAGATACCATGTTGTTGAGTTTGCATGACGATGGAACAACAATCTGATGCTGGAGGATTTGCTTGTCAAAGCGCTTCTTCCGTGCGCTGGTCAACTCGGGGTAGTGTTTGGAAGTTGAGTCGAGTCAATAATTCTACAGTCTGTCTTCAGAATCTGCAAACTGTGAGAATGGCCTTAGGACTCCTCGCAAACAGCCCATCATGTCAAACCTGCCCTTTCAGCCCAACCAGATTTCAACATGCTGTGGTGGCTTTTGTGACAAGCAATAATGACAAACTGTGTGGATGGCAAATGATCCCAACTGACACATGAGTGTGAGCTAATAACAAAGGCAGGCAATCATCAAAAAAACACTGCAACTTGCGCGTGATGATGATTCTAGCAGATTGTGAACAACATATGTGTCCTCATTCAGATCGCCAGACTCAGTGCTTGGTGTAAAGATAAATAACAAAGGCAGGGAACTGTCACGTTTCATTTGAATTTTTGAAAGGCTTGCAAAACAAAATCTGTGGTAGAGAGAGAAGTCAAACATTCTGGATGCCAGAGAGACATGACTAGAACAAGGTGAGTCTAGACTCTTTAGACTCTAGACTCTAGACTTTCAGAAACTGAAAGAAACTGTTCTAGACAACAACGACAAAGACTCTCTTTGAGGGGACATGGTCTGCTGGTCGTGCTCCGGCTTCGGGAGCCTCTATTCTTTGCGGTCTGAGTCGCCATGAGGATATAAACAGCAAATAGTTTGTTTGCACGTTGTGGATTTCCAAAAGTGCGGCGCATCACATTCACATAGCACAGTAGCACCTTTCCACTGGCCAATTGAGGGAAAGGCCTCCACCAAATCCAAGTACCTTGCAGTCAGCTCACTTCGAACAAATCCAAAACTAAACTGTTGTTTGTTCACAGCACCCTGAGAGCTCTCCGTTGAGGTCTTCTTGCCGATCAAAAACGGCATCCAGGGACCTTTGCCGAATGCCATAAGAACACGGAAACTCCTCAGCCTCAACTGTCAAAAGTGAAAACATATGAAAACTGTTTCAAAACAAAGACAAAGAACAATGACAGTTTCTACGCACAATCTGGAATTGGGAAATTTCAATTCACACAGCCCACACTCACACATTCGGAATATTTCGTGCTGAATTGATTGAAAGCTACTTGCCACACCCCCACCTAAGTATGAAAGCCTAAGGAAGCCAGGGGTAAGGTATGTAAAGCAGTCTGGGCCTGAGAGCCTCCAAGGTCTTAAACAGGTGAATCTCGAAGCTTGAAATCTCCAATTCTCAGCTCGACAAGCGAACGCCCGACGAAACCGGCAAAGTCTGCAGACCTGTCTCGACCTAACAAACCTGAAATCTAGAGGAGCGCACAATTACCAAACGCCACAAACTTTGGCAGGTACACGGAGGTGATCAGTCTCCGCTTCCCCCATCATGGAACAACTTCGTTGGCACAGGCATCCACGACGGGCCTGTGCCCCCTGCTGACAAAATGAACCCAGAGGTTCCCTTTGACTCCAAGGGTTTCACACACACACACACACTTTGGATAGGGTGTACTGAACTGAAAGCGGTGCCACTCGCCAGCCTAAGAAACCAAATCCTGAAAAACCAGGTGAGGGGGGCTGCGCGCCTTTAGTTAAAGGCCAGAAGTCAAACTCCACGATGCGACGAGCCGACAGGATGACGACGTACGCTCTTGTCTGCCGAGTGCATTAGCCCTTTACGGAACCTTAAAAATTGTTGCAGGTACGTCCAACTGGCCAAGCTGGATATCCCATTTCACTGGTAGCTTCGTTGGACACAGTCCCAGTGAAATGCTGTGTCCCCCTGCTCTAAATGAAGAAAGCTCAGTGTACAATTCAAAAGAATCCCTGTGACTACAAGGGGCACACACACACACGCCTCCCCGAGGGGAGGCAAAAGTTAAGGCTAGGACGAATGTGCAAATGCGCGCGCAGGAAAGACAAAAAGGATGAAGACATGAGAAGGAGGACGAGACGGGGCAAAAGTGTGCGTGGTTGCGATGAAAGAGAAACCAAATGCACAGGGACAACCGATGAGCCTTACCTCATTGTCGAGACCTGGGCGACCTAAAAACTGGGTTGTAGATGAGCACGTACACGCTAAGGCCAGGACCGATGCGCGCGCAAACAAAGGAAAGGATGAGATGACGAAACATGAAGACAGGAGGACATGAAATAAAAGAGGAAACAGAAGTGTGTGAAGGGGAAAGGATGAGGGGGGAACCAAATGGAGGGGGCGAGAACCGATGAAACCAAACCTCATTAGAAACGCCTAGGGACCTCGCCTCGTTTGCTTGTATGCGCTGTGTGGGCACCTGAGAGTGGGACAGGTTCCAATGAACCGTAAACTTGCTTTGACCGCTATGAACACCTTGTGCCTTGCCAAAATGGCTTGCTGCTCTGACCGCTGCAGTCACGTGAAGGCATGAGCCATCTTGGAATTCAATCACTCAGCAAGTCTTGGCAAATAACTTTGGCCGAAGCCTACTTCGCCCGCTCTGGGCGCGTACATCTCCGGGCAGGGGAGATAAGGGCAAACCCCCGTTCGACGGGTCCACGGGAGGCACTCTTCGGGCTCATCCCGGGCTGGCCGAGGCCAGACACACTTAGGATAGGGTGTACTGAACTGTGAAAGCGGCGCCGCTCGCCAGCCTAAGAAACCAAATCCTGAAAAACCAGGTGAGGGGGGCTGCGCGCCTTTAGTTAAAGGCCAGAAGTAAAACTCTACGACGCGACGAGCCGACAGGATGACGACGTACGCTCTTGTCTGCCGAGTGCGTTAGCCCTTTCCAGAAACTTAAAAAATTGTTGCAGGTACGTCCAGCTGGCCAAGCTGGATATCCCATTTCACTGGTAGCTTCGTTGGACACAGCCCCAGTGAAATGCTGTGTCCCCCTGCTCTAAATGAAGAAAGCTCAGTGTACAATTCAAAAGAATCCCTGTGGCTACAAGGGGCACACACACACACACACGCACGCCCCGTAGAGGGGTGCCAAAATCTAGAACTGGCCCAGACGAAGGTGTAGGCGCGCACGCGCAGAGGACAAAAAGGTAAAGACATGAGAGGAGGACAAGCAGACCAAGTGTATGCGGCGGCGGTGAAGAGAAACCAAGTGACCAGGGACAAACGATGCACCAGACCTCCTAAAAACAACCTCCTCATCCTACCGTGCTGCTGCTGCTGCTGCTGCTGCTTTGGGAAGGCATTTGTTCCCACTTTTGTTTTCAAAGTTCGGTCGTCGTAATTTCCAGGTGAGGTCAGGCGTAGCAAGCGTAAATGAACATATGTTTCGATATACTGCAGGCGTGGCATCAAAGCCCTTCTTGAAACATGGGGCGCGAAAAGTGTCTTGTGCCAAGTGGGGCCAGGATGGAAGCGCATGTCTAATTTGGCTCCGTATTTTCTTGCCATACCTTTTATTGTAGGCGTAGGGTGTTTGTGTTCAATGAAGCACTGGGGCGAACTAAAACTCGTTTGGATGTAAGCACACGCGAATACGTTACGCTCAGGGTCGGACCAGTGTGCGGAAAAGAGAAAAAGGATGAGATAACGAGAAACGAAGGCAGGAAAATCATGACCAGAAAGAGGAAAATAACAGTGCGTGAAAGAAAAGGAATGAAAAGGGGGAACCAAATGAAGGGGCCGAAAGAAAGGAAACCAAACCTTAGAACGATCCTGGGTGGAAGTGGCCTGGCTTACGCATATATGCTGTGTGTGCACCTAAGGTTAGGCCAGGCCCCACTGGGCCTTGAGAGAATTGCCGACCGCTGCAGGTGCCTCTCGAAGCTTGAAGCTTGAAGTCTCCACTTGTCAGCTCGATGATCAAACGCCGGACGACGCGCGCAAAGTCTGCAGACCTGTCTCGGCCTAACCAGCTTGAAATCTAGAGGAGGGCGCAATTTCCAAACCCCACAAGCTTTGGCAGGTACGCCGAGGTGATCAGCCATCGTGGAACAGCTATCGATGAAGGGCCTGTGCCTCCTGCTGAAAGGCCCCCTTTGCCTCCAAGGGTTTCATGCACTCAAGGTAATGCGCGCTGACTCGATTGCGGTTTGCCACCCGCTAGCCTAAGTCACCTAAGTTGAGCGCAAGCAAGGCATTCTGACCGTGAGGCCTCAAAGAAGACTTCCGTGAAATTCCACCAAACTCGAAGAGCTCGAAAAGGCGACAGGATGACGGCGAACGCGCAAGTCTGCAGAGCTCAATAGCACTTTACAACACCTGAACCTAGAAACAGCCTGAGCGAGGGAGGACCATTGGAGTCAGTGTGTTCAGAGCAAATACGTCGATTTGGCGACCCAAGTCGATTTCACACATGCAACACTGGCATCTTCCTTGGCGCCAGTCCAGTGTGCATCCCTGGCACCCCCTGCTGCAAAGTAACGAATAGAGAAAAGTCCAGAAGCCGAGAACAAATTCAATCCAGTGCTTTCACGCACACGCCTCCCGATTAGGGAGGCCAAGTCGTTTCTAAGCAACAAACACGCGCAAAGGCGCGCGCAGCATGGACAAAGAGATGGGACAAAGGTGTGTGTGTGTGTGTGTGTGTGATTGCGATGAAGGGGAGCAGGGACAAACAATGAACAATGAACCGTACCTCATTGTCAAGACCTGGGCGACCTGAAACCTCGGTTGAAAGCAGTTGCGCGCGTACTAACGGCCGGGCCGTTGCGCGCGCAAGTGAAAGAACGGAGTGAAATGACAGGACATGAATCCGGGAAAGACATGAACAAAAGAAGTAAAGAAAGTGTGTGTGTGTGTGTGAAGGGGAATGGATGAAAAGGGAACCAAGTGGAGGGCCGGAAACCGATGAAGCCAGGTTAAAGCGACCTAGGTAGACCTGCCTGGTTTGGAGTGTACGCGCTGTGTGCGCACTCTCAGACTCCAGCAGGTCCCAATGGACCTTAAAGAAGCTTTGGCCGCTCTGGTCACCTTGCGCCTTGGACCGCTATGGTCACCTAATGGCTGCTCGAAAGCTGCCTACTCAAATTCAAAAAATCCATCAAGTCTTGGCAAATATCTTTGGCCCAAGCCTCCTGCTGTCCGCTACGGACACCTACGTTCCCAAGCCGAGGAACATGGACAAACCCCCAGCTCGGGTACACCCTGGGCTGGCATGGAGCCAGACACACTCAAGATTCTCAAGATACTGCGTACTGACTCGATCGCGGTTTGCCGCTCACCAGCCTAAGTCACCAAGTTGGGTATCAGCAAGGCATTCTGACCATGAGGCTTCAAAGAAGACAACCGTGAAATTCCACCAAACTCGAAGAGCTCGAAAAGGCGACAGGATGACGGCGAACGTGCAAGTCTGCAGAACTCATTAGCATTTTGCAACACCTGAACCTAGAAACAGCCTGAGCGAGGGAGGACCATTGGAGTCAGTGTGTTCAGGGATTTGGCATCCCAAATCGATTTCACAGATGCAACACTGGCATCTTCATTGGTGCCAGTCCAGTGTGCATTCCAGAAGCCGAGAACAAATTCAACAGAATCCGTGCGACTCCAAGGGTTTCACACACTTAGACAATGGGTTTTCAGTTAACCATCCCGGAGGAAAAGAGCGGCTCAACGGAAAGGTGAAGTGTCCACGGAACTGAAGGTGTTTTAAGTTTTAACAAAATGGTTTCGCTCGACTCATGACTGCAGCTGTACAATCAAAGCGGGTGAGGGAAATAGGTTTATGGGATAGCCACCATGAAAACAAACCAAAGGAAGAATGGAGTCACAGCTTGGTATACAACGGCAGGTACGCAGGGCTGATCAGGCCCTGCTTCCCACTCTCGCCCGCAGCTTCGTTGCGTGTGGTAGGGCGAGAGTGCCACACGCCCCTGCTTGCAAATTGATTTGTGGAGTGGAAACCCTTAGAAAGAGGGTAGGACACACACACACCACAAGAACGCATCTAGCCAGCGCGCCGTCTGTACCCAGGACAGAAAGGCTATCGCACTCAACTCAAATTTCTGTATGTATGGGACAACAATGTCCCAACATGTCATCATCTGAATATACCTACAGTATTGGGCTGCAAATTAAAAATCTAGAGGGAATATTCCTTGTTCAAAACAAAGACCATGTGATCATTGTCGTGACGTGCATATTCCTGCCCCCCAAAAAACGCTGAGAAGTTGTCTCCACAATCCGATCCTCCAAGGACCCGAAGGTCCCAATTCTGCGCGATTTCGGCGTGATAGCCGAATTCAGCAATTCAATAATCGCACCCACCAAGCGCGCACAGAGGGCAGGTGGCAAGGGGTAGCATTGAGAACACTGAGAACTTGAATAGCAAAGGCTGCTCTGAGTCGTTCCAATCGGATAGTTGTCTTCAAGACCAAGACACCTAAAAATATGTTCGAATCGACTTGAAGAGTTGGTGTGGTGGCATCATTTCTGGGCATCTGTTTGGACATTTTACTAGCTGACACAAAATGATGCATTCTGTGCCCGCCGTTATCAGTTGATTTTTTCTGCATGTGGAGGCTTCGGAATCAGTCAGAACAATTGGAGTTATATGATCAAATACACATTGTGTTTTTCAACTTAGACGTAGGTCTTTGAACTTGATTGAAATGGCGCTGTCCGTGGTTGGAGCACTTTGCAATGACAACATATGCGCTGCCACACCAATCCCAGTCAAACTCGGAGTTTGTCACTCCAAACATCTATAAATTCAAAAGTGCAACGGGAGAGTAACCATATTGGCTTCCAGCAAAAGATCTCAGTGTCGAACAGTCGGAAAATCTGATGCTGCTCCAATGAAAAGCTGGACGAAAAATACTCCGGCGGAACCCCAAAATGCGCCTCACAAAACTGCAGGTTCATGCTTCCAAAACAGATCCTGGTATTGCCCTCCAATGAACATCGAAACCCCGACCTCGCGCGCAACGATAGAGTCCTCCTCTTCCTGATGAAACCATTTCACAATCGTGGGAACTCTTGGCTTGTACGCTGAACTAGGAAACGCTCAACAAAACACATAGGAATCCTCCACTGCCGGCATCGAGGTCCCAGCAACTTTTCCCTCAGTTGAGCAGAAACTGGCGTTATCCACTGCGCAACTCTGGTTCTCAGGCAGTTGCGGCACCTCCCACTGCGCGCGATTTTGGTTTTCCGTGGTTCCTGGCTTGCGCAGCTTGCAGTCCCATTGTTGCGTTTGCTGACAGAAAGGCAAGCTAGACGACGGACGGCCCGGGAACGCGTGAGGGAAGCCTATGTAGAAGAGGGTGTGCGTAGTAAGAGATGTGTCTATAAGTACACTAGAGCCCCAGTTGCATTTGCACGTATGCTGCAAAATGATACCAGTATACGCGCAGCTCGCACGATAGAAAAGTTGTTGCTACGGATGTCGCAGTATGAGACTCGTGGACACTGCCAATCATCCTGCTCCCCAGCGACACGCCGCATTTACACCAGCACGCTTTCCTTCCCCTCACACGGGCTCGCGCAAATGCACTTTCCACCGTGGCCGCGCACAAAAGCGCCACACAATGCGCAACAGACTAGACTCAACCATGTTAACGTTAATCACGTGGGCGCTGCCAAGTCGCCAGTTCTCAAGCCACGCTGCCTTCCGCGCTACATTTGTAGTACCAAGTGACCCGTTCTCAGGCCTCATCTCCTAGAAACTGCTTCCCGTCATATTCGTACGCGTGGGCAGTTCAACCCCCCCTCAGTTTTCGCCGACAGCTGCACGCTTAGGCGACCGTTTTCGACAACAGCTACTTAGCAACCTCCACCTCCGTTTTCCACGACAGTTACACGCTTTGGCAACCTTGTGACAGTTACACACTCTGACAACCTCCACCTCCCTTTCGACGATGGTTTCAGACCCGGTGACCCCAGCACCGAAGCAATGCTTGCGAAACATATCCAAGCAAGATCCCAGCGCCAAAGCAACTCGCCAAAGTAAGATCCCAGGACCAAAGCAATGCTAGCGCAGCAGCCGCTCTACCTGCAAGCTGCAGATGTACTTCTAGCATACCTATTGGACCTATTGAATACATACAACTGCAGCTGTAAAAGGCGCAAGTGTATTTGCGCACGTATCACCACATCCCTAGCAGCAGGTCTAGAAGACCATGCCTCCAAGCTGCAGATGTACTTAGTTATAGCATACATTAGCATACATACCAATGCTGTTGCACATGCAAGTTGCAGATGTGGCTTGTAGCATACTTGTAGCATGCATTACGCAAAAAATCAACACTTGTTGAAACAGGTCCTACAAGAAGCTTGGTCTAGTGGATGTTCGGATCTGCCCAAGTGTGAAAAACAATGTTGAATTGAAGTTGATATGTCACGGGGAGACTGAGCAGCAAATTTTGTAGCTTTTGCGAACTCTCTGAGGTCGAATGTGGACGACATGCAAAATAGTACAACATATATATATATATATACATAACGGGCACTCCTTGCAGTGCAGTTTTCTTGCGCATTGTGTTCTGTTGAGTCAAGATTTGTCAAGAAATTGCATTGCCAAAAACGGCTGTACAACAATTGCATCCAGCAGGAAAGCCTGACCGATTGACAAAATATGTCAAAAAACAAAGAACTTAAAAAAACACCAGCATAGACCCCAAACAGCCTCAGCATTTTTGTCGGCGTCGGCGTCAACTCCGAAAATTCCAATGTTGGTGGAAACGAATGCAAGTATACTTTTCTAATACCTCCAGCTGTTTGGGAACTGAGCCTAAACAATAAATGTTTGAAAACACCAGTTCCTGATGCCTGTGTCACAGGCGCAAAACGATGGGATACCGGATATATTCCGTGAGAAGATCCGACGAGGACAAGGAAAGGGCAAAAGGAGGACGCAGGGTTGGCCAGCGCAGCCAGACGACAAGAACAGGACAAAAGGAGTTTGACGACAGGAGGACGACAAGAAGAGGAGGACAAGAAAAGGACAAGAGGAGAACAAGAGCAGGACAAGAGGAGGACAAGAGAAGGACAAGAGGAGGACAAGAGAAGGACAAGAGGAGGAGAAAAGAAGGACAAAAGGCAGCCAGAGGACGACAACAGGACTAGAGAAGGACAAGGGGTGCATAGTGGCTGGCTCTCGCCTTTTTACTGCGTCGGGGCTGTGGAATGGGTTTCTAAGGAAAAACTCGACCCAACCCCTTCAAAGCCCCAAATGCCAGGGCAAGGATGCGTGACCTGTTACCCCAGTTTTCACACCATAGACTGATAAGCTGATTCTGGACATCAGAGACATTTACTGCACTTCCGTTTCCACGGACAGTTAAGGGTCAACGGTTCTCTTTCCCTCCCCCGCCGGGCTGAGCCTTTTGTTCTTCCTAGTTTGAGGCCAATCATGTTTCAGCGTTGCGCCTCACTCACTCACTCCCTCCCTCCCTCCCTTGCCCGTCCGCCCGCCCGCGCTACTCACTCTCACTCTCACTCTCACTCTCACTCTCACTCTCACCCTCACTCTCACTCTCACTCTCACTCTCACTCTCACTCCACTCTCACTCTCACTCTCACTCCCACTCCACTCTCTCACTCTCTCACTCTCACTCTCTCACCCACACTCACACTCACTCTCACCCTCACTCACTCTCACTCTCCCCCTCACTCTCACTCACAGTCACACTCACTCACTCATCACCACCGCCACCATCGCCACGATCTCCACCTTCATCACCACCATCACCACTCACTCTGGACCCCAATGCGTCTAGATCTCTAGACTTTCGGCTGCTACACCTCTAGACCTCACACACACTGTTTGGGGTCTCTTGCCGGGATAATTTAAGGCGTTTGCTGCAATGTGATCAAGCAGGTGAGCACTTCGGTAGGCTGCCTGAACAATTTGGTGAGAACCCATGTAAATGTTTAAAATGTTACTGTAAATGCTGTTTTTCATGTTGGTCCCACGTTCCTCGGATGTTTCGGAGATTGTCAAGCAGTATGTTACAAGTATCAAGCAACTGTGGACAAATAGTTCAGCCTTTTGGAATGACTCTTTTACTTACAGCTGCGGCCACGCCATCTTCAACGCCGCAAAAGAGCCTCGTGAATTACCGCAAAGGGAACCTTGGTCCTTCCTACTGAACCTCATCTGCGAAAGGTGCCAGAGACGCGACAGGAATCGCGTCGTCATGTCTTGGATCCTGTCACAGGTTCGTCATTGATGCCATCACTTCGCAGATGTGCTTTCTCGTAGGGACAACCAACGGCATTGAACTCAACCAGGCTGACAGGGAGGCCAAAGCATAAACTCTCTCACAAACAGCCATCCACCCGGAAGATGCTCAAATCCACAATCTACGGAATCAACAAGCCTTTTGGTTTTGAATGCCAGCATGCTATTTGCGAAGGGAACAACCTGTCCCGGTCTGAGTGTTCATGCCGAGCTCAACTGTCTTGAGCTGCGATCCAAATTTGGCTTGTCGACTACAGACTGGGCAAACTTTGTCAACTCTCTTCACTGGAAGTGTGATGGGGGCGGCCTTGTCTCATTTACGGAAATTGCCTTCCTTGTTGAGACGTTTCGACTGTCACGACGAGCTGCTTGAACTTCCAGGGTTCATGATTAAGAAGGACATGCATTGTCACCATTCAATGTGGCGATTCTGCACTTGATGGCTCGGTGTGAGACCCATGAACTCCTTAGTGCCAGCTTCTTGCAGCAGGTGCCGGCAAAACTCCGAAGTCGTGGGATTTTCCACCTCAGGATCTTATAGCCGCATATAGCCGCCTCAGTGTGCAGTATCTGTTCTGTTGCAGCTTAAACATGTCTCACTTGACTCTGTCCGAGCCAGTGAGATAGAACAGAGGGGCCAGGGATCAAAAAAAACAAAAATGAAGCAACAAATAAATATATTTCAGGGGATCAAGAAAAAGACAAAAACGTAAACGGACCCAAACGTGCAGAGGGAAGAGCAATATTCCATTAACGGGCGGGGGATCAACAAAAAAACATAAATGCATAAAAAAAACATATTTCAGTGTGATCAAGAAAAAATAAACGGACCCAAACGTGCAGAGGGAAGAACAATAATCCATTCGAAGCAGTGATCAAAAGAATAAAAAACACAAACAGTAAAATCACATGAAATGAACATGAAAATGAAAGAAAGAAGGAAGAAAGGATGAATGAGTCAATGCACAAGTGAAATGAATGAAATGAAAACGCTCAACAATTAAAAGCGGGAGGGGGCGCGGGGGAGGGCGCAGCGTCTCCCCCGCAATGTAACTTGGCACGACCAAAAAACAAATACCATGGAGTTTCCCCAATGAATCTTCCTTTGATAAATCGCATTTCAATTTCACAGCCTTCCTTCCTTCCTTCCTTCCTTGCTTGCTTGCTTGCTTGCTTGCTTGCTTGCTTCGTTTCTACCTACCTGCCTACCTACCTTCCTTCCTTCCTTCCTCCCGCTAGCCCTTCCTTCCTTCCTTCCTTCCTTGCTTCCTCTTCCTTTCTTGCCTCGTTCCTTCCTTCCTTCCTTCCTTCCTTCCTTTGCTCGTTTCTTTCTATTTTTTTTTGATGCATGTTTATTTCTTTTTTGATGCATGTTTTTTTATTTCTTGATGCATTTTTATTTTTATTTTGATGCGTCTCCCTAGAACAGAGAGAGTTGCCTTGTCTTTTGCAAAGGTTGCGTGCCAATGCATTTGTATGCATGTGTCACACATGTGTCTTTGTTGCAAGCCGTTGGACAAAGGCTCCATCATGCCTCACAGGCTAGTTGCAGAACCTGTTTCTTAAAAAATATCAGAGTTTTGTGGGGGGCCCACGTATACCACCGCAAATGGATGCAAAGTGTCGGGTTTTCCTTTATGTCTTGGCACAGTTATTGGTGTCACACCTGGACTGTGCTGTATTGTCACACTGCGTGCCTGTGATACACATCCCACTCATCAGAGAAGGTATCCAAGTACAGCCTTGGCTAAAAGATGCTAAAGGCGAACGTCACAAAGCTAAGCATGGGCTTCTGACTGGAAGTCGGATGCATCTGGGGCTTCCCCCACCAAGGCATCGATACCTTGCTCGAAGCCCAAAGCCTTTCGAATCACTGCTTGGACAAGTTTCCGGCGAGCAAGCGTTGCGGGATCTATGCCCTGCAAAGCACTGTGGCGAGATCACACCAAATTGAGAAATCAAAGCAAGTGAAGGCGAATCGTGTGTGCTTGGGCTTGAACTTCGAGTTCACGATGGTCATTGAGCTCTTCCACCTGACTACATGCTGAAGCCTTCTATTACATGGGTTTTGTGTTTTTCTTTCTTTATGACTTTCCACTGTCTTGATACATGCAACAGACCGTGTCTTACTCAGGTTAACTGAGACCAAACAGGACAAACCGCTAATGAAATCCCGTACTTCGCATGATGCTTCAGAATTGCTTGACCAATCAAAAATCAAAATGCATTCAGAACCAAATAATCTGCTGATATGAAGTCAAGGTTCGCTTTCCCGGAAGGTCTCAACAAACTCGCCCAGACCATCCCACCTAACTGGAAAGGGACACTAAAAAAGAATGCTAATCAAAAATACTATGCTTTACCTTAGTGCAACAACAGCCCGCCACCCAAACTAGGGGGCAGTCTGTCCTCGCAAAAGCCGGCTACCACGAAGCGGGTCGTTTGTGACCGAAGCCTGGCAGGCATGCTTCTGTTTTCGGATGAAGGTTGAGTCTCGCAAATCAAGCCGTACGTACAAGCGACTGTTGGGATCGCAGCTCATCGTAAACCCGCGCCTAGGCTACGCACTGAGATTTGGTGCAAAACGCATTGACGCACGGTCTTCCAACAAATGTCTCCTATCTACCAGCACCAATGTGGTGCCACCGTGTGGCCTCTCGGATGTCACCCAAGACTATATATAGATACATACTGTATGTATGATATCTGTATCTATATAATACAGGCTGTATATAGTTGCTGGAACTGAGCATAGCTACTTAATGGATGTTTGCCCAAAGCTTACATTTGGCTGAAGGAGCACAGCACACTGAGCTTAAACCAAACTATACAATTGCAGCGTAGTTTTGAAAGGAGTTAAGTTGCATACCCATGTTTCTAGCTGGCTGGCGTCATCGAGATCACCTGGGCAATGGAACTGCCAAAGTGACTATATAGAAGCCATGGGCTCCAATGTATGGGCTTTACAGCAAGGTCTGGCGTCACAACCATACTACTGGTCAGACATGGTCAGACCATGATACTGTTTCCGGCGACAAAGTTCAACCAAGCTCATTGAGGCTGTGGCCAGGCATTCAAGGAGCAGTCAACAAGCCATATGCCATGCCCCACTCTCACAGCACCCACCATGCCCCACAGGCCAAAATACCATGGGCGGCTCATCACTCATAGACAGCAAAAGGCCACCGTATCACAAGAGTCAGAGTCAGAGTGATAAATAGCTTTCTTCGGTTTAACTAGGACACCAAAGCCAGATATGCATGTTCGGTGAAGGCCTCTGGGCATCTGCAATATGTCTGGTCCATTCACTTGCGGTGACTTGTGTCACTAAGGAGAGAGCACTTCCATCGCATACGAAGCCTCATTCAACCACTTGTCCATCTACTCGTGCGTTTGTCCATATTGAGCAAGGCAGGCCTGCGTGCGAAACTCCAAACGGTGAGAGGCAAAAGCAACCAAATCAAGAGCCATATACGAAAAAAGAAATGATACAGTATACAAATCATCAGCTCAAACCTCGCCAAATTTTGGCAGGCCGTGCTCAAAGCTGATTTTCAGCATGGTCACGTTCAGCTGACAGGAATGCATCCACACATCCCGCGGTGTTTGTCTGGCAGACTTCAAATCACCAAACACTCCAAGAGATGCTTGCCTGTCAGCCGCTTCATTTGCTACTTTGCATTGTGGCAAAGGGTGAAAGCGCGACGGAAACGGCCTCTAACTCGATGTTCTCTTTGCTTGATAGGTCGATACAAATTGACAGGGCCAAGGTCTATCCAACTTGAGAATGTCCTTCTTGAACCGGAGAGTGAAACCTGCCCAAGGCCTCCATGGAACTCCATGGCCTCAATTGGAAAGACCTCATATGTCTGGGGGGCGGAGGTTCTGCCTCGTCAAGAGCTTTCTCAGCAGCTGCATACAGCTACGCGTTTAAGTGGTAACACAGGGTAACATACCTCATCATACCTCAAAAGATTCCACAGGCCTTGCCTCGTTCTTCAGGGCCCAGTCACAGAGTTCCAGGTCGTTGGACAGCATGTTGTTCAGCGCTATTTGCATCTGCAAGGCATGTTGAGCACAACTGATGAACACCAGTCCAAAAAACTGTTTGGCTGCGAGTCCATGCCTGAAGCAAAGCTCTGTCTTCTGCAACTCGCTCTGAAAGGTCTTCCATCCTATTGACATAAGACATAAGACATACAAGCCCCAAAGACGTTTGAGAGAGTTCGGTCTCGAGAGCTGCTGACTAAGTGGTGAACTTGTCAAGCTTCTTGTTCAGTTTGTCCAGTTGCTTCCTCTTTACCTGGACTACTTGTCACTGACACTCACCTGACAGCAACATACTTGCCTCGAGTGCCTGAACGGCCTTCAGCATCTTGTCCAAAGCAACAAGATCCTTTAATGAAACAGCAGACAGCACTTTATATATCCTTTGCAACCCTCCACACCACTAACAACTTTGGCCCTACACGGACGTGTTGCGTTGTGGAGCTGTGACAAACACACATCCAACAAAGTCCTCCGCGGAGGTGTCTATGAGAAAGCTGCCATGAGGCCTGGATGTTTATACTACTTTTTGCCCCAATCAATCAGCTGACATTTGTTCCACGGCTGTAGAATTACAAACACCAAGGAAAAATCTACACATTGCGATGAACAAATCTTCATGCCATCTATCAATCAAACAGCCCAATTGTGAGGGCAACTAAGTTTTGCACCCCCCAATCTCTGTGAAGAAGGCCTTGAAGCGTTCTAAGTGCAAAACTGTTGATCACACAGCAAATACATAAAAAACACTGACAAATTAAATGCATCCAAGCGCCAAACTAGTTTGACACAAATTCACAAATCCATCATCCTGCCTTTTCGTCGTCGTTCCCAACAATGCTAGGATCAAACGCCACGATGTTGATTGGTAGGACTGGCTCACCCTGACACTTTGGCAACGACAGGCTAGGATTTAGAAGGAAGAAAGGAAGCCCTTCTGTAGACAGGTTAGGACTGGCCACAAAGTTGACCCACCCAACGGACTTGCTGGAATGCATTGGAATGCACCTAACTGAACATGATGCTCAAAATTTGAATCTTAATCTTATTTCAACAGGTTCGGCCAGCGGCAAACACCCACAAGCCATTTGAGAACTTAGGGTGGGGGCAGTCCTCCCAATGAATAATGAATAGTGGGTTTGCAGATTGCAGGACCAAACTTCGGGGATTTGAGGACTCTGGAAAAAAAATTGTAGGAAGTCGCCCAACAATATCTGACACAGGAGGCTGGTATGCCCCTCCTCAAAATAGAACGCTGGCTGGATATGCCGGGATAAAACCCTGCAAACAGCAACCTCAAAGGACACACTGCACATAGCGCCCTGCCAAATTTCACGGATACTGATTGAAAAACACCCACAAACCAGCAGCAAAAACGCCTTGGCTGGAGAGTCGTTGGAACTCCGCAGACTTGCCTTCAGAAACCAAACTAAAAACGAGTCGAAAGTAGAAGCGAGTACTGTATGTGTCAAGTCATGAAATGACACGCGAACACTGCCGCAGGAGCAGCAGCAGCAGCAGCAAGACCACTATGACTATAACCACCACCGTCATCACGTCTGAGCCCCAACATCCCTGTCAAAGATATAAAAAACCAATGCAAAATTGACATGCAATGTTGCCTTATCGCCATAACAAAAGGCAGCAAAAGGCACCCTGCTGTCGTCCGTCCAAAATCACCCTCAAAGCTGAAACAGTTTTTCCAAGGTGATCGGCATCATTGTTCTTGACAGGGACATGAGCTGCACATTGAAAAAAAAGGAAACACATATTATTTCAACAAATTAACGATTCCAACACTAAAAGGCGACTTGGCAGAAGGCAAGACATGCATGTATCGACAGACTATCCTGACAAATGCTGCCTGACACATGCACTCGCATAATGTTCTGACAGTTGTTTTGGCATCAGTTTTGGCAAATGTTCTGACACATCATCTTTCATAAAGGCTGGTAAGTTTTCTGGAAACTTGGAAACTGGAACGTGTTATACCGCGTTCTGGCACATGTCATCACATGTGCCCTGCCGTCAAGTCAAGTCTGAGATGCATTTTGACACCTTTCTTTGCATGTACTTCTGATATATGTTTTGAGTTGAATGCCCTGTTTCCAGCTACAAACTCAGAAACCCAAAAAGTAGAAGTACAACAACATATCAAAAAACATATGGGATTATTTAGTAGCCCCCCCTCTCAAGCCCCCCAGGAATAATTTGGAAACTATTCTGCCCCCCCTCGACATGGTTTTCTGAAAATTATTCTGGGAGTGTTTCAGTTGCTGGAATAAGTAATGAGGCATTGCCACAGAAACCCCCTGCGAGGCCGCATGTAGGAGTTAGCCAACCCCTAACCAGAAGCCTTACTAGTTTTTGCCCTCCTGTATACAATCTCCATAACCCACAGAAATTATTCCAGGGGTTCAGTTCTGGTAGGGGCCTAAAATAATATCACCTCCCCTGTTTGCCTCTATACCTAACCATGTCTGCCATTATGCCTCACCCAAAACCCATCACAAAATTCTTAAACCTCAAGCTTTCCCAACCCATACCAAAAGACTTCCTAGCTTTCCCAAAAGGTTAGGCTGAGTTAGCTGAGTCAGCCATCACTGCGTCAGCGAAAGTATGCCAAAGTACTCATGATTATTTTTGAAGCGTTAAAACATTTTAAAACAGAACGGCAGGCCCTGGAAGTGCACTTTAAAAAAATCAATTTTCAGTGATCTGGAGGTGCATTTTTGTATTTTTTCAAGGATCTACTCAGATGAATTGCCAAAGACATCTCAACTGCTGTCCTCTGACAAAATGCAGGGTACCAAAAATAAACAATAAAACCAAAAAACAAAAAAACAATCCTGACAGACTCTTTGGACACCCCCCCACCCCCAGTCCAAGACCTCTCAGGAATTGTTGTTATTTTTTTTTGGTGATTTGGGGGGGTGTCCAAGACCTCCCCCGAATTGTCTGCTTTTGTTTTTTCTTGATTTCGGGGGGTGTCCAAGACCTCCCAGGATGTTTTTTCATTTTTTTAGTTTACTCCCTGAACAGTCTCCTAGGATTGTGTTTTTTGACACCTACCCCAAGACAAGACTTCTGAAGGGGTTGTTATTGTTGTTTTTATTTTGTGTTTTGGTATCTCTAACTTTTGCATCACATTCATCAGTTGTTTTATTCAAAATAGAGCACCTTGTGGCATTTCTGAATTATAGATATTTTTCTTCACTAATAACCATTGGTTTATTAAGATCTATTTTTTCAATGATATCAGGTTTGATATTACCCAATTGTTCTATAAATTTATCCATACAATCCTCACCCCTATTCAGATAAGGTGTGGATGTTTTGTCAATTCTATTCACCACGTTCAACGTATAGCAGCAAGGTTTATGCTCTTGATATGTACCCTTAATCCCATCAGAAGAAGTCACAGTAAGACATTCAAAATCTTCATAAATAACAAAAGGATGTTCTAATTTGGTATTGTACTTTTCAATTTCAATAAAAGAACCTTCAGGGGGTAGTTTGAATTGTTGCCCCGCAATTGCTAATCAACCCCTTTTATAATGTTCTTCCAAGCCCTCTTTTTTTACAAACGGGTTGAGAACAATACCTAGAGATATGCGTTTTATTGTTATCTTTATTCAATTGACAATTTAATAACCTACTCAAACTTCTTATTAAAGCATAATGGTATCTATTTTTACCATCAAAAACTCTCAATAAGTCAATAGGATATTTAGGATTTAGAACTTTTCTCGCTCTTGTATTGAATTTTTTTATCTTCATTAAAAATTTTTTTCTTGAAACATTTACTGAAATTAAACAATCATTATTCACTTAAAGCCTGTCAATATCTCTATTACCTGCTGGAAAATTGACACCTTCCCAACTGATGATGTCATCCTTCAATTTGTTATAATGAAAAATGTCTTTTGGGTGATGTTTATTAATCTTATCAAAAACTACTGATTGAATACAATACTTTAAACACTTGTTATAAACATATTGTCTTTTTATATTAACGCAAACCTTTTTAAACTAAACACAATTAGGTAACTCTATATATTTGCCTACCCTGTTGGATTCTACCGATCATAACGGATGGTAACAGAAACTACCTTTTAATTTTTAGATTAGACCTTGAAACCTCAATCTGTTCTATTTGAAGTGGTCTTTCTTTTACACGATCTTCTAAAGCTTTATTCAAGTCATCTTCATTATTAATGTTGAAACTTGTGGATGGTAAACTATGAGGTATCTCAGACTCACCTAAATCACCATCAAAACCTTCACCATCATTAACATTAGGCTTACTAAATAATGTTTCCGAATTTATGTTGAGTTTCATATGAGTCCACAAGTAATGATTTTTGATGTTGTATCATTGATAAGCCTTGTTCTCCTTTAAAGTGCTTGTTTATGAGCTTAAAACTATTGGCATATCTGTCAAAAGCTGATTTACTTTTTTCTACTCTGAACCTATTTTTGACAGCATATTTGGTTAGGGCTTTCTTCATGCTCCAATGAAATTATCCTATGCTCGTAACTTCTATATTCATCAGTTTTCTTCACTGATTCCAATTTTTTTCAATCTTTTGAGATATCTTTGTTTTTGTTACATCTGAATTGTTGGTTGTCAATAACTATTGACTTTAGTTCTTTGTTACTCTTTTTGTGTATTTTTGAATTATCAATTTTAAGCAAAAAGTTTATTCTTTCGTTATATACTACTATTATGACATAAAGCTGCCTGCTATGTCTGAAAAACCTTAAAATAGTTATTTTAGGAAAATAATAGGAATAAAATAGGAAAAAATAGGAACTGAAAATCCGCCCGCACCGAAGGTGCTGAGGCGTTTTATAGGGCACGCGTGATTCCTAAGTACCGCCAGTACTACTGTAGCTTTAGCTAGGGGGGGGGGGCCATTCTCGCTCTAGAATCCTGTGTTTTTCACGTTTTTGGAACCGGCTTAAAGTGTTTTCGTGCTAATGTTGGGTATCTTGAAGCCTTTAGGGATGCAAGAAATGCAATTTTCTGCTTTGCATCATCTGCATCATCTGAATCATCTGAGCGGTACGTAACATAACCCTAGAAGTCACTATCTAACGGACATGTCTGCGAGATAGGGACTTGAACGTCCGGGTACGTGGCTGGTCAGGAGCAGAGATAAGCAGGTCAGGTCCAGGAACGGTAACATTATCTCCCGAGCATAGCTCCCATATGGTCGAACATAACCCCAGAAGTCCCTATCTTAAGTATGCTTCGCCGAGATAGGTACTTGAACGTCGTAAACATGGTCTAACGAAGGCTCCAAAGGGACTGGAATAGCGTGAAGATATTGCCTAACAGAGCGCTCGAAGACACTATCTAAAGGACGTGTCTGCGAGATAGGGACTTGAAAGTCGTAAACTGGAATAAAAAAAACCCTCCAAACGTGGCCAAACATAGCTTCCATATTGCCTGACATCACTCCAGAAGTCACTATCTTAAGTATGCTTCGCCGAGATGGGTACTTGAACGTCGTAAACGTGGCCCAACGAAGGCTCCAAAGGGACTGGAATAGAGTAAAGATATTGCCTCACATGGCGCTAGAAGTCACTATCTAAAGGACGTGTCTGCGAGATAGGGACTTGAACGTCGTAAACTGGAATAAAAAAACTCTCCTAACGTGGCCAAACATAGCTTCCATATTGCCTGGCATAGCAGCTTGACAGGAGCAGAGATCTAGATAAAGAGAGATCAAGTTCAGGAACGGTAACATTTTCTCACGAGCATAGCTTCTTTTTGATCGCACATAGCCCCCGAAGGCACTATCTTAAGGTGTGCAGATCCGGTTTAGGAACGGTAACATTATCTCATGAGCATAGCTCCCATATGGTCGAACATAATCCCAGAAGTCACTATGTCGGGCCACGTTAGGACAACCGTTACCGTTACTTGACCTTATCTCTGCTTATCTCTACTCCTATTGAGCCGAATTGCGCGATCTTGAGCTACCTTGCGAAAAAGCACCTCGATTTGCGACGTTCAAGGCCCTATCTTCCTTTCATACTGACTCCCTTGGCTCCATGAGCACAAGACCCCCTTCCAGATCGTATTCCTTACTGCCGGTAGCAGTCTTTTAACCCTCCAACTACATTGGGCCATGATGACCGGGAGGGGATCACTTCCGGCGCTATGTTCGGTGGAAATATTGTCCCCTTCCATGCGGTGCGGGCGGTTAGCGTCGCGAAGCGACGTGAATAGGAAAAAAAAAGGACACAAAGCGGATGAGTCTCAAAAATAGGAAAAGAAAAGAGCTGGATTTAGAAATAGGAAAGGAAAAAAAGGAAAAGAATGGCAGCACTCTAGGACAGGAACATAAAATGGACCTAGCCCCAGTGGACCCAGGTCTGGTGGACCTGGCCCCAGGGTACCTAG